CGGTGGAACCGCCGTAAAGTATGCATGTGGAGACGATTGATGACGGGTAAAAACGAGCAGATTCAAATTAACTACCCTGAGAAATTCCAACAGTAGGTGATGTGGGGACAAGTGAATTGTTAAATGATACCGATATGAACGGATGTTGTATGAGTGGCTAGGGTAAGAAAATATCCTGATGATAATAAAGAAATTGTCTTTCGTCAAAACAAAATAGAATATATACTTCGTTCAGTCATCAACATTTAATCAGAAAAGAGATTGAACACATTTGGAATAATCCATCAATCGATAGGTTTTGCCCGAGAATTTTGAAAACCCGGAAAACTCTCGTCCGGAAACTGGATCAAACGCACTTATTCTCGTCAGTTTGTCTATCATCCAAACGATGCGGGCATGCATGCGAGGATGAAAACAGGAAGCTAATAGAACACCATGAACGAAAGCGTAGGGAGGCTGCTGAAGACGAAAGACCCATTTGCTATTGTATCAACGGGCACTATGGGCAGCTCAACCTGCCGAATTCGAAAGGGAAGGGGACTTCTGTGATGAAAGCACAACACAGACATACACATTCGAACAGGCATGCATGTGGGAAGGAGACGAGGAAGTCAGGTAACAATAGAGACCATTGTGTAAACAGTTCGAAATATCAACATATGAGCATTAGTACACAGGCGAATTGAATGCCAGATTGCAACGGCAGTTCGCATTGTCTACCGGATAAGTGTGATAAGTGATCGTATCGCATTGGAATCTGACGTTAGAGCACACTCATTTGATTGGACTAACAAAATGAAACAACAGTTTCGAGAGACATTGGAGTTAAGATATGAGAGATACTTTAGGGGTTTTGTGGTCTGATCTATTGAAGCCTTTTGGTTCGCCACTCCAATTCTCACGATCATGGTTGCCAATTTCCTGCTCAAAACATAAACATGACAATACGAAATCACGCATGCTCTAGGCACTAGCAATGCAAACACACTTACGAACATTCCCGGACTGAATCGCAATATTGGTTCTGTACAACAATTTCCTCAGTCTTCTTCTACACCCGTCTTTTGTTCAACCGAAACACAACCCCCCCACCGTCAGACACCACCCACCTTTAAGTATTCAACCACACTTTCAATTCCTTCATTTTACACAAAGCTGGTGTCTGTGCCTTTATTCATCACTTAGTCATCTCCTCCAGAATCCCAAATCTTGACTTTTCAAATCGTGAAGTTCAGCTGATGTGGCTGAAACTCCGAAGTTCTTCTTTTAACCATTACTTTTTTGTGTTCTACATCAATAGTGGCGACTCATCCACCTTCGATTTTTCTTATCGCTTGGAGCATTAAACACTTGCTTGAAATCGACCCCAACTGCCATGTGACCGTCTTGGGAGATGTCAACGTTCACAATCATGACTGGTTGGCACATTCACCTGCTACTTCTTTGGGGCACGAAACCGAATATTTCGCTCTGGTCCACAACCTGACTAGTTGATCTCACCACACGTGTCCCTGATCGATCATGTCCACACTCTCAATGTGATTCTCTCTGCAGTCTCTTCTTTCTTCTCAGACATTTGTAATTAACCATCCTCTCGGCTCATCGGCTAATGCTACTGTTTCTTGCTTTACAAAATTTTCCAGCTCCGATTCGCCACCCAATTCGAGGCACACATTCTGGTGCTACCAATCAGTCAACTTTCTGTAACTTTCGCCCGCTCCCGATTCCTATCATCGTTTCGTGCAAGCTAGAAACATGCTCGACAACCATTCAGATAACCAGAGAAAGCTTCGTTCGCTGTAAAGCCAAAGACTTAGTCTCGTCCGCCACAAGTAGCCGAACATGCCAAGGCAATTCCCCGTGATTTCCGCTTTTCCAATTTCCAACCCCATCTGTAATTTCCTCTGGTGATCTTGTATGTCCACCACACTGCGTTCTCTAAACACAAACGAACCACCCGTTGCGGACGTTATTCCACCCATCATGTGTGCCTCCAAGCTGGCTCTCATTCGACGTCGTCCTTTCAGTTTTTCCCTCCAACTTTCTATTTTTCCAACTCCTTCGGAAAGGCCGTGATCTTTCCCATTCTTAAACGCAGCGACCATTCTAACCCCATCAATTTCTTTCGTATTTAAAATCATCACCTCCGACCAACTACGCACGTCACTCGAACGTGAAGGACTACTAAGTCACCGTCAGGATCGCTCAACCGGCAACCTGCTGGCTCTTGTTTCACAAGCCTGATCGGCTGCACTCGCTTGATATTTCAAAGGTCTTTGCCCGAGTTTGGCATGAAGGTCTATTGGCGAAACTTCACATGTTCGGGTTCCTTTCGGCTTTCGAAGAGTGGATATCAAGTTTCCACCGAGTAGATGTGGTTCTATCTCAGCCGTTCCCCAAGGTTCAGTATCTGCGTCTACCCTCTTTCATATCTTTATTAATGATATCCTTTCGAAAACTGCCAACCCGATCCATTCTTTTCTCGATGATACCACCCTCCACTGCTCCCTTTCTTACCGCACTGCATGCTATGCCCTAATCAACGCGAACAAACCAAAACGAAGTTTAACTAGTCTGGCGAAGAGGAACGAAGTGGTTAGCCTCAGCAACAATGTTGTCCTCCACCGCACACGTTGTGATGAGCTAGGCAACGACCACCCAAATATCTCACAAAGTGGTAATTCGAGTTACATGGCTGGCTAAGTGTCAAAAGTGACGGTGCTTTGAACAGTCGACCGCATGGAAAGGACAGCGAACGATACCCTATTTTCTTTCAGTACCTCTCTGTACTATCACCA